CTGCTATGTAGGGCCTAGGGGGTGTACAGGGCCAAAGGCGAAGTGGCCCAGGGAAGCAAAGCGGACAGGAGGGGAATGAAGGAGGGCAGAAGGAAGCTGCTGCTAGAGGGTCCCTGGGTTGGGCCTGCCCCCCCCCTTATACTGCACTGGGCCTGTCATAAATATAAAGGGAAGAGTAACAACCTTCCTGTATACAGTACTATAAAATCCCTCCTGGCCAGAGGCACAAAATCCTTTTACCTGTAAAGGGTTAAGAAGCTCAGGTAACCTAGCTGGCACCTGACCAAAAGGACCAATAAGGGGACAAGATACTCTCAAATCTGGGGAGGGGGAAAAGGCTTTGTTTTGTCTGTTCTTTGTCTGTCTGTTCTGTGTGCTTGCTGGAGACAGAGTTGGATTGCTTGCCTTCTTGATCCATTAGAATTTATAAGTAATAATAAGGAAATGCGTTAGCTTACTTTTATTTTGTCTTGTGATTTTCCATGTCTAGAGGGAGGTTTACCCCTGGATTTGTAACTTTAAGGTTTTGCCTAGAGGGGAGATCCTCTATGTTCTTGAGTCTATTGTTATTCTATAAAATACTTACCATCCTGACTTTACAGAGGTGATTCCTTTATCTTTTCTTTTATTAAAATTCTTCTTTTAAGAACCTGATTGATTTTTCATCGTTTTAAGATCCAAAGGTTTGGGTCTATGTTCACCTGTACCAAGTTGTGAGGATATTATTCTCAAGCCTCCCCAGGAAAGGGGGTGTAGGGGCTTGGGGGGATATTTGGGGAAGGTAGGGCTCCAAGTGGCCCTCCCTAAATGTTTGTTTAAATCACTTCGTGGTGGCAGCATTACTTAATCCAAGGAATAGGGGAGTTTTTAACCTAAACTGTAGAAATAAACCTAGGGGGTCTTTCATGTGGGTCCTCACATCTGTACCCCAGAGTTCGGAGTGGGGAGGGAACCCTGACATAGGCTTTGCTTACAAATCATAAAAAACAACAGCTGTATAAGGAAGCTAGTCTATGTTCATGCTTTTCAGATCTATTATACTTTTTCAGGTTTCAGAGTAGCAGCCGTGTTAGTCTGTATCTGCAAAAAGAAGAACAGGAGTACTTGTGGCACCTTAGAGACTAACAAATTTATTAGAGCATAAGCTTTCGCGGACTACAGCCCACTTCTTCGGATGCATATAGACTGGGTGGGTTAAGGAAACTACTGTTGTGGCTGCTTGTGGCATGTAGCATCACTCTATATGCATCCGAAGAAGTGGGCTGTAGTCCACGAAAGCTTATGCTCTAATAAATTTGTTAGTCTCTAAGGTGCCACAAGTACTCCTGTTATACTTTTTCAGATATACGTATTTTATCATACACGTTATATGCTTTTAAAGTGTGTATTAATGTTTCAATTTCAATTCAAATTTCCAAACAATCACTAAATTGGTAACACTGCTTGTAACTAGTTCACAAAACTGTGGAGGGGTGGGGGTTGGGAAAATTCAGGGTGTGTGTGTAGGGAAATCCCTGGTTGGATAGTTGCTGGGGAGCTATCCAGGAAAGCAGACTGAGAAAGGCACCTGCTGGAGGGGCTGAAGAAGCCAGGCCCACTGTCTCCATTCCAGGGTGCTAGGGCTTAAGGGAAGAGAGATGTGTGCTCAGGCTGCTTGGTGTCTTAAAATCCTTTTTATCTAAATGCTGTTCCTACTGGTAAGTAAACAACTCCAGGAGAGACAACAACACAGGGCCTGGCACTGGGGGGTGCAATCGGAGAGATCAGGGAGGGGACAGAGGTGCAGCCAGTCCTGAGCCATGACCATTTTCATCCACAGATCTCAAAGCACCTTAAGTGTTATCCCCCTTTTTACAGATGGGAAAATTGAGGCATGAAAACGTGATATGATCTGTCTAAGGTCTCCTAGGAAGGCTGTGGAAGAGCCAGGAAGATAGACAAGGTCTCCTAACTTGCAGGCCTGCACCTCTACATACTGGCCTCTCACTGGGTGTAAAAACTAGGCTGGGGAGGCTTCAAGTTGAGCACCCAAAACTGGAGGCCCCCCACAGTCCCCAGTTCCACAGGGCTGTCCCGCTTTGACTGCCAAGCCCCTTGTCCCTGTCCCTTGTTCCTGCATTCTGTGGCACCTGCAGGTGTGTGGATGTTGAACATGATGTGTACCATTGGCAAGGGTAGTGCTTGGGCTCAGAGATGGGGAACTCATAGAGGGGCAGTGACACTGTACTTGGGGAGACCAGGCTGGAAGGTGGGGGCTGAGCCTGGCATAGACTCAGTGGGCAAGGTGCTGGGACCAGTGGCTGCAGCAGGGATGGAGTCACAAGAATTGGGGATTATGCCTTGGAGAATCCCAGCTCCCTTGTGCTGGGGTTGGTGGCTGCTGTGGTCTGGATCTGCTCCATTCTTGGCAGGTGATTCTGCTGCATCCCACTTTAGCGACTTGAATTGTAGGGAGGTATACAAAGGCCACTTGTGAAACGTATCCATAGGATGGAGGCACTAAACACTGCACCATGCATGCCTGGGAAAGGGTTTCAGGAGTGCCCCACCCAGGCACTACACTGCACCATACATGCCTGGGAAAGAGACACGGGAGTACCCCTTCTACACACTACACTGCACTGGGTATACCTGGGAAAGAGACATGCGAGTGCCACTCCCTCCCAGGCACTACACTGCACTATGCACACTTGGGAAACCGACATGGGAGGGCTTTTCCCAGGCACTAAATACTGCATGGTGTACACCTGGGAAAAACACACCAGAGAGCCCCCTCTCAGGCACTGCACTGCAACATGCATGCCTGGGAAAGAGACACAGGAGTGCCCCCTCCCAGCCACCACACTGCACTGGGTACACCTGGAAAAGGGACATGGGAGCGCCTCCCCCAGGCATTAAGCACTGCACTGGGTACACCTGTGAACGAGACACAGGAGTGCCCCAGCCAGACACTACACTGCACCATACACACCTGGGAAAGAGACATGGAACTGCTTTTCCCAGGCACTAAGCACTGCACCATGTACACCTGGGAAAGAGACATGGCAGTGCCCCCTCCCCAACCAGGGCAGGTACTGGGGAAGTGCCACCACTCTCCCCGATATTGCCTAAAGCTGGGGCTCTCTTGTCCAGTGAAAATCTCAGGTCTTGCAGCCGGCCTGTGGCAAGGGGTGCTGAGGGAAGTCTTTCCAGTGGCTCCACAGCCATTCTAGTGCACTGGTGGGAACAGGGTAGAAGAGAGAGGCAGGAGTTGCTGAGCTGTCAATGCTCTGGAATTGCCCATAGGACATGATACAGCACTGCCTGATTGAAAGGCCAGTTAGCTCACAACTTTTCCATGTGGCAGAGACACACCAAGGTGTGGAGTATGGCCAACAGGAAAGCATGAGACTTGCTCATTTCCCATGATACTCAGATATCTCCAACCCTCCCCAGCTTGAACTGCACACCCTTCCTGCCAAGAGGCAGGCTTGTGGAAACTCAGTAGAGTGGAGTGCCTCTCCCCAGCAGCTTGCAAGAGAACAACCTTTTCTCCACAGCCCTGGCCAGCTTCCCACAGGGCCCATCTTTTGTCTCAGCTGGGTTCAGGCCCTTGTCTGGTTTGTTTGCTGAACCCTAGAGAAAAATCATAGAATCATAGAAGACTGGAAGAGACCTCAGGAGGTCATCTAGTCCAACCCCCTACTCAAAGCAGGACCAACCCCAACTAAATCATCCCAGCCAGGCTTTGTCAAACTGTGCCTTAAAAACCTCTAAGGATGGAAATTCCACCATATCCCGAGGTATTCCAGTGCTTCATCACCCTCCTAGTGAAATAATATTTCCTAATATCCAACCTACCCTCCCGCACTGCAACTTGAGACCATTGCTCCTTGTGCTGTCATCTGCCAACACTGAGAATAGCCTAGCTTCATCCTTTTTGGAACCCCACTTCAGGTAGTTGAAGGCTGCTATCAAATTCCCTCTCATTCTACTCTTCTGCAGACTAAATAATCCCAGTTCCCTTAGCCTCTCCTTGTAAGTCATGTGCCCCCAGCCCCCTAATAATTTTCGTTGCCCTCTGCTGGACTCTCTCCAATTTATCCACATCCTTTCTGTAGTGGAGGGCCCCAAACTGGATGCAATACTCCAGAGGTGGGCTCACGAGTGCCGAATAGAATTATTCCCTCGATCTGCTGGCAATGCTTCTACTAATGCACCTCTTCCCCCATTCCTCCGCAGGCGCAGCAGCCACCTCAGCCTGCCCCCGGTGCCGCTCCCTTGTAGCCGGCTGCGGCAGCAGCCAGTGAGGGAGCACAGCGCGGAGCTGCAGGTGGCAGCCACCCACTGCCCAGGGCAGGCAGGGATGCTCAGAGGAGGCACACGGGGGCAGCAGGTGGGGCAGGGGGAGAGACCCAGTCCCAAACATTGGTGGAGCCCTGAATCTGCTGGAGCCCGGGAACCACGAGCCCATACAATTCACTGCCCCTGTTTATTCCTACCCTCCAGCGTAGTGTCATCCACAAACTTTTGATAGATTTCTTTTAAGCGTAAGAGAAAATAAATGGAAAAATCCCACAAAATTAATCGCTCTTTGAAAACCTGATTCTCTGACACCTTCTACTGTCCCCACATCTTGGAGATCTTATCTATGGCCAGTCAGCAATACGCCATCTTTTGCAATATGGGAAAGTCCCCTGTAGTTCTCCTCCATCCTATAGAGATTCTACATCACGGACCTGTAATTTCTGGTAAGATTTTTTTCAGAGTATCCTTTTTTCCGGCTCAGACGTCAATCTCTTCCTCTTTTCCCCTTGTGTGGGCAAAAATGGGGTTCTGACTGGCTGGCCTGGATTGGCTGGCTGGCTGGCAAAAATGATGCTGGCCTGTGGGTGAGGCTATGAGAGACCCAGGCTGGAGGCAGCAGGGCACTGAGAATTCTAACCCACTTCTGCAACAGGACCCACTGCAGCCTCTTGGTGTTTCTTTCCTGGAATTGGGAACTGCATCTTGAAAGCAAAATGTGCAAGGGACTTGCTGCATTGCCAGCTACTTGCTTAAAAAGGTAGGTTGCATTTTGGAGCATTGCTATTTCTAATGGTCCAGAACTATATGGCTCTATTGCACTGTTTGTCCACGTGAGGTTTGAGGCAGAAATGGTACAATTTAATTTGATTTCTCTCCAAAACTGATGATTGTTTAAGGATTTTCTTTTCCTTTAGCTTGAACTTGAATTGCATCATGCTTCTTTGTTGAGTATTGTGAATTCTAAACCCATTCTAGCCATAAGCACAAAGCAATTCCCTGCATTCATATACTTTGCTATCCTTCCTTATGCTGCCTTTTTTTCAAGATTTATATAATTCTTGTTCCCCAGAAGAGGGGAGATATTTTCTCTCATACTGAAATGACCATCTGCCTGGCTCATCGTTCAGACTATATCACCCCTTGGAGTCCCTTCACCAATTCAGCAAACACAACCATGTGCCCTGCCCTGCCCTTCAAAGCCTAGCTCTGACCCTCCCATCCCACCTGTGATCCTACCGCACGGTGGACTCTGTCCTTCGTGCCTCAGCCATGCCAACCCTGTTGCCCAATTGCCCTTTTCTCCCACAATCACTGCAGGCCACCCTGTAGGAGGGGCATATTTGCAATGGAGGAATCTGTGAAATGTTGCCCCCTCCCCTTGTCCTCCTTCAAATACTTCTGAGGCCTCCCCTCTATCCTAATCTATACAGGAAATTGCCACCGACAATGGTGTGGAAAATGGTTTTGGAAGCCACAAATATTTTGTTTACTTTAAATTGAACCCTCTCCTTCCCAAATGGCAGGAAATTTTGACAAAAATGAAAAAAAATTGCAAGAAAAGTAATTGGATTTTTAGCCTTCTCAACCCAGGAGTCCCTGGCCCATCGTTCAGATAGCTGAGTGACCCATGGATAGTGCGTGTGGGCTGCTTCCCTCTGGGCTCATCCCTAAAGAAGAGAACAGCCAGCTCTCACCACTAGTTACTCCTGTAGTTCAAGCAATACAGCAGAGGGATCAATACCGGGGAGGGAGAGGAGTTAGTTCAGTGCCAATGTGGACACAAAACCAAATGGATATAAACTGGCCATCAACAAGTTTAGGCTTGAAATTAGATGAAGGTTTCTACCCATCAGAGGAGTGAAGTTCTAGAACAGCCTTCCAAGGGGAGCAGTGGGAGCAAAATACCTAACTGGTTTCAAGACTGAGCTTGATAAGTGTATGGAGGGGATTGTCTGATGGGACTGCCTGGTGACTGCTAGCAGCAAATATTACCAACTGCTGGTGATGGGACACTAGATGGGGAGGGCTCTAAGTTCTACAGAGGATTTTTTCCCAGGTGTCTGGCTGGTGGGTCTTGCTCACATGCTCAGGGTCTAACCGATCACCATATTTGGGGTTCAGGAAGGAATTTCCCCCCACATCGGATTGGCAGAGACCTGGGGGGGGCGGGGGGTTGCTGTCCTCTGCAGAGTGGGGCATGGGTCACTTGCAGGTTTAAAATAGTATAAATAGTGGATTCTCTGTAACTTGAAGTCTTTAAGCCATGATTTGAGGACTTCAGTAACACAGCCAGCGGTTAGGGTCTATTTCAGGAATGGGTGAGGTTCTGTGGCCTGCAATGTTCAGGAGCTCAAACTAGATGATCACGATGGTCCCTTCTGACCTTAAAGACTATTAGTCTAAGCAGGCAAGGTTTCTGCTGTGGAATCAAACCCTGTTAATGAACAGAAAGACAAACACTGTGTTGAAGTGGAGCTAATGGTGAAAGTAAAAATATAGTGGACCCAGATAATGACAACCTATTGCAGAATTACCCCTGGAGCAATGTTTGTGACAGCACCTCTGCTTAGAGGAAGCGCCCCCCCACTTGATCTTCCTCAGTCAGCCTGCTTGATTATCCATCCTTTAGTTTTGCTAACATGACTTGTTTGGCTGTTTTATTTCCTTTAGTATGTGGTCAGATCAAAAAAGTGACTGTAAAAAACAACATTGTGTTTATTTGATCAGTGACCCTCAGCTCACTGTTGTTTGGTTTATAAAGTGCAAGGTCACTAAGTGCACTCAGCCTTGGATGGACAGGAAACTGGCTCTGTTTGTTCTGCCGCACACATCAACCTCAATAATAAAAGCCCAAATCTGGAGTGGTGTTGTGATGATGAAGTCAATTGCAAATGCAGAAATTCAGCCCAGAGATTCTGCAATCAGCTGATTCCTTTGATGAGGCTCCAAGCAGGATGGAACTCAGCTTGCTCTGCTATAAATGAATTGGCTCATCAAAGTGGAAGGACAGCCTTGCTGTTAGGATGCAGAAACTCTGAGTTCATTTCCTGGCCTTTCCACAGATTCCCTTTGTGACACTTAGAAGCTCTGTGCCTCCATTTCCCCATCTCACAGGATGTTGTGAGGGTCAGCTCATTAGTGTATCCACAGTGCTCATGTGGTAGGATTCTGGGAAGCCATGTAAGTAAAGTGTCAAAGTCAGACTCAGGACTCACAATTTGTCTGACCACTCTGTTTATTAGCAAAAGCGCTCTGCTAATATACCCAGATAATGTGAGTGCCATGCAAGGCCCAAACTACCTTATTTATACAGATAAAAAGGGTGCGAACTTAACCAGATGACAAAGGGAGCAGAACTGATAAGTTTACCTGGGGCTAGACACACATCTTATTTCCTTATTAACTCTTACAGATCTCCTGTTAATGTCCCACCATCAGCTTAAGTGGACCCATTGTTCAATACCTTAATGTTTCTCTTCCTGTCAACTTTATCTCAACATTCCTCATTCCTGCTTAAAGGAACATACAGCATTTCTTTAATCCATTCTACTTTTACAATATAATTCATTCTATTTTCACAAAAGTAACTGTGTCAGACCTGGTTTGTCAATAAACAGATAAAGTGGCCTTGAATATGCACAGAGCTGATGAAAGGGCCTTTGTTACATAATTGTGATACTTTTCTGAGTATAACTACATTTTATATTTCAAACGAAATAATAACAAATAAAACCTCTTCTATTGCAGTGATCTCCTAACAGGCAGCTAATCAAGCAACTTATTATAAGCTGCAATAATCATATTTGTTATACTGTTGAAAGTCCAGTTCACTGAATGTAAGATCCCACTTGCTTCAATTCCTATGTTAATGCCATTTGTCCAAAACAGAAGAAGTGAACACTGACAAGTGATGCATCAGGGTTGGACATGCAGCGCTGAAATGGGCCCGTAATACTGAGGAGTTCTAAACTCATAGACTAATAGACTTTAAGGTCAGAAGGGGACCATCATGATCAAATAGTTTGACCACTTGTGCATTGCAGGCCACAGAACCTTGCCCATAAGTTGTTTCATTTTGCATGAAGACTCTGCCTTTTGGCTCTTAATAATAATAGCCTTTATCAATGGTTTCTTGGTTTCTTTCTTCCTGTGCAAAAGATATGAAGCATCATCTGGATTTCTTACTGCAGAAGCCTGGTCATGTGAGCACAGCTCTTCCCACAGCAAGAAGGAGAAAATGGCTCCACCCCAGAGGTAAGAGAAAAGCCGGAGGCAGGAATGGCAAGGCCTGATGCTGGCAGGGAGAGTTTGCTCCTTCATTACAGTAGTTCACTAACATTCCTGATGGTGTTGCTGCAGGACAGCAGTGGGCAGAACACTGGGCTAGGTGGATATGGTATGTCCCAGGACAGAAGGGAGCAGCACAAAGGGCTAGGTGGAGATGGTACATCCCAGGTAGGGTTTCCAACCCTCCAGGATTGGCCTGGAGTCTCCAGGAATTAAAGATTAATCTTTAATTAAAGATTATGTCATGTGATTACATCTCCAGGAATACATCCAACCAAAATTGGCAACCCGAGACCCAGGATGCAGGGGGCTGCACACAGGGCTAAGTGGTTATGATACGTCCCAGGACAGAAGGGGGCAGCACACAGAGCTAGGTGGATATGATATGTCCCAGGACAGAGGGGGCAGCACACATGTCCTGGTACAGAGGGGGCAGCATGCAGGGCTAGGAGGTTATGGTACATCCCTAGACAAAGGATGCAGCATGCCGGGCTCTGTGAACCATTGGCCTATTGTGGTGTGTCAATTCTATGTTCTTTATGCCTTTAGCCAAATTAACAGTACCCCCTACAGTCTCAGGAAATCACCCATTTGGATTCACTGACTTAACCCTAAAGGCCAATCTCTACTCAGTGCTCCTGAGAGAGGCAAACAACCCCAAACTCTACCCAAGTCCATATCGACCATCTCTGGGGAAATTTCCCCAGTCCCTTCTAGTGATGTGTGATGTGTTGTGCATGTGAACTAGACTCTCCATAGATCTCTACCTGAACCCGTCTGTCTCAGAAGATCAGTAATAGCCACGGGAGGGGCGTTCATCCCAGTGATATGGAGTGGGTCAGTGCATTTAGGGACAGAGAAGTGTTGGTGGTGATGTACTGGAGGGCTAAGCGAAAGTCCTAGGTTAACTCCACACTCCATCTATCCCTTTGTCCCCTCCTAGGGTTAGCCACAAGGAAGTCCAGAAATGGGCTGACTGTTTGGAGAACCTGATACATCATAACAGTAAGTAGATGGGGCTGCTGTGCTGGAGGGATCTGGGGAGAGATCATATTCTGTACTGTTGACTATTTGGCATGATGAGTGATCCCAGGTTGGTGCCACATGGTACAACTGCAGGCTCAGAGTTCAATGCTTTCACTCACTTCCTCCAGCAACACACATCCAGCTAGCTCCTGCCAGACACTGCCATTGGGGTAGGGGCGGCTCTATGTATTTTGCCGCCCCAAGCATGGCAGTCAGGCAGCCTTCGGCGGCATGCCTGTGGGAGGTCCACCGGTCCTGCACCTTCGGCGTACCTGCCGCCGAATTGCTGCCAAAACTGCGGGACCAGTGGACCTCCCACAGGCATACTGCCGAAGGCAGCCTGACTGCCGCCCTCACGGTGACTGACAGGCCGGCCCCCGCGACTTGCTGCCTCAGGCACGCGCTTGGTGCGCTGGTGCCTGGAGCCGCCCCTGCATTGGGAGAGGTTACAGGCACAGAGGGCAGTGGAGCTGGAGTGGAGACAGGTTCCACTGCATGTAGACATGGCAGAAGGCAGACTCAAGGACTGTTGGTGGCTATGAGAACAGCCCATGGTATTCTCACTGAACTATCCCTTATTGGTAAAGCAGCACATGCTCTGAGGAAGTTGGGAGCAGATGAAATCCCATCCTCAGGCTGTGTGGGGAACTCAAGGGACCCACAATTTCCCAAACCTGGTGGGAGTGGCTCTGCCTTGGTCCCAGACCGTGGTCAGTGTCAGCTCTGCTGCTGACCCCAGCATGTTTCACATTTCTGTCCTATTCCTATTCACCCTGAAAGAAGGCAAATGTTGAGCCAAAGTCATCCCTGACACAATTCCACTGAAGTCAGCTGTGTTAAACCAGAGTGAATTTGGACAATCTCATTTCCTGGCCTCACAAGTTTGTCTCAGCACTCAGCTCTGGTTGTTTTCCTGGGGCCAGTTCCAAAGAACTCACCCCTGTTGGCCTTTTGTGGGCATGCCGCCAGGACTTGTGTAGTTCCAGGCCTTCCTGAATTTTTTTCTCAGAGTAAAGCTTGTCATGGGTGACATGAAGGTCAGGCAGTGAGGGGACACATCTCCAGCTGCTCAAGTAGGAGCCCCTCTTACCCTGTGCTGCAGCCCCTGGGCTCTGTGCCACCAGGCCAGAGAGGTTCCCAGGCCTGGAATCACACACTGTGCATTAATGGCCTGCCTGGGGTCAGCTGGGATAGGGTCTATCTGTATGCTCCTGTCAGCTGCCCCAGGGAAGATCACTGCTTGGAAGCTGGTGCCTGAGGAGCCATGCTGTTTGGCTGCCCCTTGAGGCCTCCCCTCGCCAGCCATTTGCCAGCTCTGGAAATCCCATGAGGAAGGCCAAGCCGAACATGCAGCCTCTACAGTGAGGAGCTGCTGTCTCTGGATTTCTGTGCAGCAGCCCATTGGCTACTTGGGATCACCCTAACACAGCTAAGAGAAGCTAGAGGCCGAGGGGACTCACCTGCTTCCTATTACTTTCATCCCATCTGCAGGTGGGCTGGCTGCTTTCCAGGCTTTCCTCAAGTCTGAGTACAGCAAGGAGAATATTGAGTTCTGGGTGAGCTGCAAGGAGTACAAGAAAACCAAATCGCCAGCCAACCTTAGCCCCAAGGCCAGGAAGATTTACAATGAGTTCATCTCTGTGCAGGCTACTAGAGAAGTAGGTGCAACACCCTCTGGAGAACCTTCAACCTCAGGGCTAAGCAGAGTGGGCAGCTGGCCCTACAACAGCACTTCTGAGAATGTGGCTCCGGCTCTTCAGAGAGGTGGGAGAGGGGCTTTGCTGTGTGGACAAAATGCCAGTCAAAAGTGCAGCTGAAATATGCCACTTTCACTGCTTTAAATGAGCTCTTCTCAGAGGGGCTCAGTCCCCATCCTTATGCACTCCAAATGCCAAAACAAGGAGTAGAGGACCAGACGAAGGGAGGTTCCCCATGCGCGTTCCATGCAACTGAAAGAATCTATCCCAGGGACATGCCACCCCACCCCTAGTGGATGATCCTTGTTCACTGTCCCAGAGAAGGGAAAGTCCCCCTTCCTGACCCCAGACTTAGGGATCCACTCATGCAAATAATCCTATTTGTAGCCGGAGATCCCACTGAGGTCCAAGCAGCCCCCCTTTACTTCCACTGAGTGCTGACTGAGTGGATTCTGCAGTGAGACCCAGCCCTCTCTTGGTGCATTTAACAGACTAGCTGGGAAATATCTGGAGCAAACCCTGGCTCTCCATTCCTTGCCTGGCTGCTTCCAGACCAGCCTGTACTAATCTCTCCCTCCCTTCTACAGGTGAACTTGGATTCCTGCACATGGGAAGTGACCAGCCACAATGTTCTCAAGCCCACCCTGTCGTGCTTCGACGAGGCTCAGAAAAAAATCTTCATCCTCATGGAGAAGGATTCTTACCACTTCTTCCTCAAATCTCGCTTCTACCTCGATTTGGTCAGTCCACCTGCAACTACTTGTGGGACTCAGAACCACAAAAGAGCTACGTCTCCTGCCTTAGCCTGCTTCTCCCCTCTGGTCTCTCAGTACACTTAGCTCTGAGCAGGGAGCAGGCAGGTCTCCTGGGACTCTCTGGGGATGCATGACAGCAAAGCACTCCTTGGCATGAAACACTGTTGCCAAGAGCTGCTTGAGGTCGTCACCTATATCCACTATCTAACTCCAGCCACCACTAGTTTGAGCATCAAAACGTGTCATCTACATCAGTATGTGAGCCCCTGAAGACAGGTTTCCTGACACTCAAAGTCAATGGCAACGTTAAGGGTTAGAGCATCAGATGTGCATTGTGTTCTTTCCATGTGTCGCCAGCATACGTATGTGGCTCCCAAAGCACTTCGGTGCAGGCCCTGCTCAGCAGTGCTTTATTACCAAGGCCCTATGTCTGTGTGGGTGACCTGTGACCTGTATACCCAGCAAGGGGCTCTGAGGGGACAACCACACTCCCTGGACATGTCCTTGTGCATGTGTATCTGCTCTCTCCTGCAGTTGCCAACTCCCGACATGTTTAGATGCCTGCAACATGAGGCTCATGGCTGCAGTCCCTGTGTCACCTCTAGGGTAAGCAAAGAGATAGACAAGAAACACTGCATCTCCCTGACTCATCCAGGCAGGCAGGAGCCAGCTCAGGAGAAGGCCTGTTGGACACAGAAAAACCGTGGCACAATGCCCATGCTGTGCCATTGCGTGGGCCTTAGGATCATGCAGGCTGTGGTTTGCTTGTACCCTGGCAGTGCTCCTTTCTGAGGCAGCGTGTGTGTGTGTGTGTGGAGAAATATGCATCATTGCTGAACCTTGGTTTATTATCTCACCTCATTTTCAGAGTCTCCAGATTATCCAGGGTTTCTCCTTCATGGTGTGGTGTTCTATCCCATCTAGTGGCACTCAGACCACTTAGCAAGAGAGTTAAATGAGCCTGCTCTACAGCCTTAGCTAAGAGCTAGTTGGCTTTTAGCTCATGTGGTAGAGGCTCATGCACTAAGCTCCAGAGATCCCCAGTTTGATCGCGCCCACCAATAACTGGGGTCTACTCATACCTGCTTACAGCTGGGCATGGGGAGATGTTACATCATTGGCAAGTCAATTCAGGAACAGTTCCAAGTTTATGTTAAAGGGTGACTGTAGCGAGGCGGTGGGATACTGCACAGCCCCGCAGCGGGACAAGCCTCCCCTAGCACCAACGTGGGCGGAGCCAGTGGGTCCTGTGCCCGCCCCCTAGAGGTCACGGAGCAGGACAGGAAGTAGAAAAGCCCTGCTGCAAAGCTCAGTGGAAAACCAGCCGCCGGAGAGGTCAGATGCCTGTGGCCTAGCTCCGGGTTGGGGAACGCCGGCAGGCCGCGGCCGACCCAAGGACTGTCCAGGCCAGCCGAGCCTACCCCTCGCCAGCTACTCCGAGGAGGAGCCGCGCCTACCCCTCACCAGCTACCCCGAGGAGGAGCCGTGCCTACCCTTTGCCAGCTACCCTGAGGAGCAGCCGAGCCTACCCTTCGCTAGTTACCCGGAGGAACCGATGGTGCTGGAAACCGCCGAGGACACCAGCCAAACCCAGGTACCTTACGAGGGGGAGTCCGGAAGTAGTCCGGGAGCAGCCGACCCTGGCCTGAGCTCCTGACTGTGTGTTTGCTGCCCCGCCCTGACCTAGGGCTTGGGCCCAGAGCGACCTAGTGCGAGGCGGTGGGATACCCCACAGCTCTGCGGAGGGATGAGCCTCAGCCGAGCCCTTCTACAGTGACCATCAGGTTATATGTTGTCAGTCTAACAAACCCACCCCCTGCCATGCCTCTGAGAAGCAGACCAACTCTCTGCCGCTGCAGGTTTACTTCGGGCCCCTGAGCCAGCCTGGACACTGGAGCCACCCAGCCTGTTTCCCTTCCCATCTTCCCTGTGGAATGATGCTACAGCAACTGCATGGAACAAACCACCCAAAAGCATTGCTAAAAGTTTTGTGAAATCTTCCCCTCCCAGTCCCCTAAATCTGCACACTGGGTGTAACACCCAGAGAGAGCCCCTTGAATGGGGTCTGTGCTGTCCTGGATTGCCCAGCCCTCTACAGGGCCTATGCCCAGAGACATTGAGGGGGAGATCTGCTGCTGGCGGGGAGGCACACAGGGAATACTGGAAAATGCTCCTTTTTCTATTCTTTGATCTGAGTTAGTGTATCTAATGTTGTCAGTGCTGCTTGTTAATATCTCTATGAGGTGTCATGTCAGAGTCTGTCTACACTGCATTTAGACACCCGCTGCAGGCCTGTGCCAGCTGAGCCAGGCTGTTTAACTACAAAGTCGATATTCAGGCTCGAACTGGAGCCAGGGTTCTAGGATCCCGAGAGGTGAGAGCTGCAGCCTGACCCCCAGGAGCCTGAGTCAGCTGGCGTGGGTGTAGACAGACCCCCCAGGGCTACAGAAAAGCAGCAATCTGTCCAGCATGTGTGGGGCAGGGATGTCTCGATTTCTCCTTTAGACTGTATGGCTGGAATTGGCCTTCAGCCAAGAGCAGGGCATGGGACTTTCGTTGGCTTCCAACGGAGCCCCCTGCAGCAGATTTGGCACTTTGGTGCAGTGGCACCAAGCAGCCTCTGCACTGTCCTTGTTGGCTGGGGGTTCAGGGAATTTCTCTTGCACAGCTGGTCACATTTGTTTTGAGCATGTGACCTGTGTCTCCCCTTCCCTGTATGTTACATCCTCATCCCTCACCTGATCCCACTGTGAGGCCAGCTCTGGGTTCCCTCTGCTCTGCCTGCTTTGGGGGTGGCACTCGTGTTGAGTGTTCACAGGAGGCAGAGTCTGGGAAGTCAGACAGCAATGGTCACACAGAAAGAAAGTCTCTCTTAACACCACTAGGTATTGTGTTCTTATTGTATTTCTGAAGCACACACTGACCTGTTTGTTGGGTGAATGGATGGACATGCTTGTCTGTGGTCTCAGTCAGTTCTATACCTGTCAAACATGTTGCTAACTGTGTTTCTTCCTAGTACCTAAAATTCCTGATACATCTTGCAATGAAATGTATAAATACTTTACTAAGAATAAATAAATTCTAAATAAAATAGTTTGCATTAAACACCAATCCAAAATGGCATACATGTGTATGCCAGTGATTAAATTCACTGGCTACAAAATATACCAAACAATATCATGACAGACAGATTTTGACTTCTCCCAGCATCTCTGACATCCAGTCACTAGAGGCAAAAGCAGCATCTACTAATTGCTTGCTTTGTAAAGTATTGTGTGTGTAGCACAGGCCAGAGTCTGACTTCCTGTGTAGCACAGGCCAGAGAAATGCCCCAGAATAATTTCTAGAGCAGAGCTTTCAGAAAAACATCCACTCTTGATTTAAAAATTGGAGAATCCACCACAACTCTTGCTAACTTATTCCAGTTGTTAATTATTCTCACTGTTAAAAATGTACGTCTTATTTCCAAACTGATGTCTAACTTCATCTTCCAGCCGTTGAATCATGTTAGACCTTTCTCAGCTACACTGAAAAGCCCTTTATTAAATATTTGTTCCCTGTGTTGGAACTTATAGATTGTAAGTTAGCGTGTCCATCTCTCCGCTTCCGCCTCTAAGGGAGGCCACGCCTCCTCGTGGGCTGGTCTACACTGGGGGCGGGAGATCGATCTAAGATACGCAACTTCAGCTACATGAATAGCATAGCTGAAGTTGAAGTATCTTAGATCGATTTACCTGGGGTCCACACGGCGCAGGATCGACGGCCACAGCTCCCCCGTCGACTCCACTACCACTGCTCGCTACAGTGGAGTTCCGGAATCGACGGGGAGCACGTTCGGGGATCGATATATCGCATCTTAACGAGACGCGATATATCAATCCCTGTTAAATCGATCGCTACCCGCCGATACAGCGGGTAGTCTGGACCAAACCCACAGTTTGGTCTGTTATAGACTTTTCCAAGCAAAGGAAAAAAGGGGGGAATTTGTGATTCTTAAGGCCATCCTTCAAGCAGCCCATAAACAGTCTGGGCTCTGGCCTGTAACCAGGCAAAGCAGTAGCAGTCTATTCACTCAGCCGTTAAGCAGGGCGGGGCAAAAAACAGTCAAGGTTCTGACCTGCAACCAGTCAGAGCTGGAGCAGTTTATTCACCCTGCCTTTAAGCAGAGATCCCGCAGGGGCGAGTGCCAAACCCAGTCTATGGAGCTCAGGTGGGCGTGAGCACCAAGCACAGCCTATGGAGCTCTGGTAGGCATGTCTGAGAGGTGCAGGCCCCTTGCCCTAAGGAGGTCATCTAGTCCAACCCCTGGCTCAAAGCAGGGCCAACCCCAACTAAATCATCCCAGCCAGGGCTTTGTCAAGCCAGGCTTTAAAACCCTCTAAGGATGGAGATTCCACCACCTCCCGAGATAACCCATTCCAGGTCTTCACAACCCTCCTAGTGAAATAGTTTTTCCTAATTTCCAACCTAGACCTCCCCCACTGCAACTTGAGACCATTGCTCCTTGTTCTGTCATCTGTCACCACTGAGAACTCCATCCTAGCTCCATCCTCTTTGGAATCCCCCCTTCAGGCAGTTGAAGGCTGCTATCAAATCCCCCCTCACTCTTCTCTTCTGCAGACTAAATAAGCCCAGTTCCCTCAGCCTCTCCTCGTAAGTCATGTACCACAGCCCCCTTAATCATTTTCATTGTCCTCCGCTGGACTGTCTCCAATTTGTCCACATCCTTTCTGTAGTGGGGGGCCCAAAACTGGACACAATACTCCAGATGTGGGCTCACCAGTGCCAAATAGAGGGAAATAATCACTTTCCTCAATCTGCTGGCAATGCTCCTACTGATGCAGCCCAATATGCCATTAGTCTTCTTGGCAACAAGGGCACACTGCTGACTCATATCCAGCTTCTCATCCACTGTAATCCCCAGGTCCTTTTCTGCAGAACTGCCACTTAGCCAGTTGGTCCCCAGCCTGTAGCGGTGCATGGGATTCTTCCATCCTAAGTGCAGGACTCTGCACTTGTCCTTGTTGAACCTCATCAGATTTCTTTTGGCCCAATCCTCCAATTTGCCTAGGTCACTCTGGGCCCTATCCCTACTCCTACCCTCCAGCGTATCTACCTCTCCCCCCAGATTAGTGTCTTTTTCAGAGTCACTGATTTCCATGACAGAGTCCCCCATTATATAAGTGTGGCCTACATTCTTTGT